TTACATACAAGTATGAAAATATAAATGTTAAATATATAACTACATAAGATTAAATGCCTTTTTATAAAATCCTTGTAGGCTCGTTACCTGATATTTAAGCTAGAGGTTCATTTGTTTCTTGTGGGTGTAAAGCATGACTTAAAGGAAAAATTAAGATTTTATTTCCACATAATTTAAAATTAAGTTTTTTATGTTCTAGATATATTTTGAGAGGTCATGTGGAATTTGAAATGAATATTAATATCTGACCATGTCTAGTCAAATAATGATTCTCTAAGTTTGGGGCAAGTTTGTCACTAAGTCTTTCGGGCTCATGGTTTACTTCTTTCACACTAGGCTCCTTCACAGTCACTTCTTCCAACTCTCTTCCTCTTCTTAATTTATTGGCTTTCATGTGCTCAATGACTTTGTTCTTAGAATTCACTTATGTATTATTTGGTTGAGTTTTGCTATTTGTCATAATTGATTTCAAAACTTCCTGATAACTGCAACTTGACTCTTTAGTTGATTCTTCATTTGTAACACAATCTCTTCGAGAGATAATTTAATTTCCTTAAACTATTTATTTGAAGTAAATTTTGTTGGTAAGTTGACCTTCGGTTGCCATTACCCTGATTATTCTAATTAACTACTAAATTGGTTTGATTGCTACGTTACTGCTTGTTACCTACACTTTTATTATTATTATTTATGATAAATTTCTTTTGATTCCTCCTGCCTTGGTTGCAGGTGTTGGAATGCAGGTTATTGAACATATTGGTTATAACATTCTTGAATTCTACAGACAACACACTTGAATCAACTAGTTTTTGTAAATATTTTTCTCCATTATTATTGATCCTAGTGTAGAATTCAACCCAAAATTGTATAAGTTCCTAGAGATAACAACTACTTGAGAGGTTTGAATTGTTCACATGTCCGTATCAGGCATGCTAGCTACCTTCCTAGGATGACTCTATCTGATGACCATTAAAAAATATTTATTGTCATCTCCTCAATTAGTGAATGTGCCTCCTCAAATGAATTTGACATGAGTGACTCACAACCGCAAGTTCTATTTTCGACTTTAACAATCCCACTAGCCCTTGATAAAGTGTTTGAATTATGAGTCAATATGGTAAGAATGATGGAGAGATATTTCCTAAGTAGCCCATTAAATCTCACAATCTTATAAATTGATTCACCATGTAATTGGGTAAATGAGGTGATATCAACATTAAGTTTTACCATTTTAGAAAGAGGGAAGTATTTGGCTAGAAATTTCCTGGGTTATTCCTTTTATATGGTAATAGATCTTGATGCTAAGGATTTGAGCCACATATTAGCCTTATCCCTAAGTGAGAATGGGAAAAGTCAAACTCTAAAAACATTAGAGACATCGTTATATCAAAAGGTAGCATACAATTCATGGAAGGTAGTTTGAGTTATGGCCCCCTGTAGGTGATCCTCCAAAATAATTGTTTTGTACCATCTGGATACAGGGTAGTTTGAGTTCAAAGGTATTGGCTTTTACGATAAGATTATTGATGTTTAAACGAATCTCCTCAAGCGATGAGTCTAGGTAGAACATTGAGTCTAGGTGTGTTGTGTTCTTCCTGTGGTATTTTTTTCATCTCTTCTATCTTCTTTTTAAGTCTTTTAGTTTTTTTATTTTTTAAAATTTTTTCAAGTTCAGGGTGGGTCATAAAATACAACATTAAAAGTTTTAGTCCTATGCATACACAAATATAACAATTTAGCGAGTGGCTTTAAACTAAAAGATTTATCTAATCACAATAGAGAAACAAATATAAAAAAAGATAGCTACACAAATAAAGATGCTGAAAAATTTGAAAGCAAGCAAAATAAACAATTTCACAATTTTTAAAAATACAATAAAATTTGAATACTAAATTAACACGAGAGACACGAGCACATTACATGAGATATTTTTGAATTTTCTTACACGAAAAAAGAAAATAAATTATAGTAAACATACAATTCTCCTCCTTATCATAGTTCAACTGAGTGATTCATATTGTGGGTGACAATCAAATGCAATTATCCTCCTTATCCCCTCCAAGGAGTCAAAGAAGATTTGGTAATCATACATTTTTAGTTCGATAAATCAAGTGAGTAGCCCAAGATTTCTTATTTCCCTTTACAACTGCACTAACTTAGAAACAATATTTCTATTCTCTCAAGTTAATAAATTTTAACCTAATTATTCAACCAAAAATTCTTCCCAAACTCAAATATCAGAATTATTTTTAACAACTCAATAGGTTAGGTTGAATGTAAATGAAGATTTAAAGGCAAATCACCACTTCTTAAAAAGTACGGTTTAATCTATAAAAAAAAATCAAATTAATAATTCCTATAATATCAATTCAAGGAATAGAAGAAGTTCTAGTCTCTAACCATGCTTGGAGACAACACAAATAACATTTCATTCATTAGAAAGATTCAAAAAAAGACTTTGAAAAGATAATACGTAATTGAATTCACCAAGAAGATTGAACATTTATCTTTCTTCCTTCTCTAAATGAT